GTATGCCTGTAAAGATTATCAATTAGTACATAGGTACAATTACCCGGGCTAAACTAACCTTAATCTCTGGTGCTACCGTGCGGAGCTACTAATGTTCTCTCATAAATCATACAAAAAGGTATTAAGGTCCGTTCGCAGAAGAAGTCTCTGGTAGCTGGCAAGTGTGTTCGTGGGGTTAGATGATATTTAAAAAAGAGTTGTATATATATTTAATTAGCCTAAAAAAAATTGGATGAAAAATAGGAATAACGAGGTGAACTGACTTGTTTTCGTTCCTTCTGACAAATAGTAATGCAATGCCAGATCTCTCGTTATCTCCCCACTGCGAGTGTCTTACGAAGCAAAATGCGTTAGTTTCGCTTAGATTAGAAGGCGTGTCCGGAGGCGGAGCGAGCTAACATTGCGTTAAGTACGCGTCCGTGCGTCCGTGCGTCCGTGCGTCCGTGCGCAGTACGGCGGACACATCCACGTGGCTTGGCGTTATTCGTATGCGTATCGCACGATCGACGCATTAAACGGTGAACGTGGGTCTCACAAGCGATGCTTATAAAACTCTCCGCCCAGTGTTCTCGTGTCCGTCCTTTTCTCTCATTCGCGCTTGATCTCGCTATCTCTCTCCTTTCTCTCATTCGTCCCTTCTTGTTCATTGCCCGGGAGGAGGTGCACAATGACGGGAAATGAGCGCTGAAAAATTAGCCGCCGAGTGCGCGACGGTTACGCCAATTAAAATTCGACTCGTTCCCTACGAGGAAACCATTGAAATCATTCGAAGCAATTGTTGCTCTCGGGAATCGATTTTATTTGCGTTCTTCGCCCATTCGTTGGCGTCTTGTGTTTCTTTTGTAAAAGAAAAGACATATATAGGTATAGATGGACACTGCAATCTCAAGAGAGAATGGATTCGGGTGCGCTTAAGGTATACGTATACGTGTCGAAAGCGTCCGATTCCGTTGAATCGCGAAGCTGCGCACTCGTGTCGAAAGTCACTCGCCATTTTGTTCGAGAGATCGTGAGAGGAGGGAAGAGGAGGGTCGAGGTGGGCAGGGGGAGTAAAGCGAATAAGGAAGGGGGGTCCGCACGGTACGAAATCGGGGAAAATAAGTCGTGGGGCCCTTTCTTCGCGCCTCCCTCTATATAGAAGGGGGCCTTCGTAATAAATCACAATCTAGCGCTATTCAGTGCTCTTTTGGGTCAGTGGGTGTCACGTGAAATCGGCGTCGGCCGTCGCGACGTTAACGTTAACGTAACGCAACGCGCACGTTTAGCCAAGTCACCTACTGTCTGGATAGGTTGTTAGTGGTAGTAGTTTTGATGGTGGTGGCGGTGGTGGCGGTGGTGGTGGACGGTGGGTCCCCCTTTGGATATTGGCAGGATGCTTACTCAACATCTCGTTGAAATTAAGGCCCCCCTCCTATCCCCGAGGGCACCCCGTATGGCTGCAAGCCGCGCCAACCAATTGCGCTGTGTTTCGGGATGCCAGAGCAAGCATTACCTCGCAACTTGAGCCTTCCCGAATTTTCGTCTCGTCATTCCCCAATTACGCTAGCAGATCGATGGCTATTAGGGACTCGGACGATCTTCCGAGAATCAATATTGTTAAGACGCGCCACCTTAATTTCCTGGGCGTTAATTAAGAAGTCACCTTCCACACGCCGCCGCCCCACGTTATGCCGCTTCAAACACCGCGCTTGTCTCTTCAAAGTCGAGAGTACAGAGCCAGACGTTCACTTTCTCTCTCTCTCTCCTCCCACTCCACCTCATTCTACATCGCGTTATCCATCTCCTACCGTTCTCGTATCTCTCTCGGTGCTTCTCAATGAATTTGGAGAACCGTCACATTCAAAAAGATCTTCCGTGGAGTGTCTTCGATAAGCATACCCGAGAACGAGTGGCCTGTGGAGGTGGTGGATTCTATTTTAAAAATGTCACATATGTCGTAAAGCGGGAGGAGATAGAGCGGAAGATAGTGTAAGGAGAGTGGAGAGGCGAAGGAGGTGGTAGAGAATGAGGAGGAGCAGAAGAAACAGAGGAGGGAAGAGCGAGAGAGAGAGAGAGAGAGAGAGAGAGAGAGAGAGAGAGAGAGAGAGAGAGAGACTCGTAGAATATCTCCGGGACCGGAGGCTTTATTTATACCCAAAGCTCCGTATTATTGGATCACCCCCGCGACACTGTGTCTTATGCAGCCTCTGTTTGTCCGTCTCTCAATCTTTTTGGTCTGTAACTGGTACAGGCTCTGCCTTATATCCGACAGCGTCATCAAGGTAACGAAGAGAAATCTCTCACGTGAAATTCTGTATACGTCTGCGAGACTTTCCAAGAGTTAAGGATTAAAAGGATTCTCTCTCTCTCTCTCTCTCTCCCCCTCTCTCTCTCCGTCTCTCTCTAAATCTCTTACCATTCCTCTGGAGAATTCGTAAAGTAAATTGTCTCGCAAGTACGAAAACTAAAAAAGCTCTCCTCGTAAGTCGAGCACCTCCACGACGCGCCACTTAAGATTCCATCAAATGATTTATTCGGCGTGCGCCGCAAGCGCGAGTAAGAAATTTAAGAAATTTCTAATTAGGCGCGTAATTATCATCCGTCTTTCCGCTGCATTCCTCGCGGCTAGCGTAGTTCCCACTCTCCTCCCCGGACTCATTCTTATTCCCGAGTGAGGAGGTGGTGCGCGAGGAGGAGGAGGGTGGGAGATGAAAAAAAAAAAAAATGTAAAAAAGTCTTCTGCCACGGCGATACGCTACTCTCACGGGCGAGGTATAGTAGAGACACCTGAAGAAGGTGCCGAAGAAGAAGTCAAGGAAGAGGACGAGGAGGAGGAGAAGGAGGTGGTAGTAGACGAGGAAGAGGCAGGTGGTGGGGAGGGCGCGAGCTCGATGAAGAAACGGAGGAGGGGGAGGTGTTCGATGCACGCGAGATTCACTTGGCAGGAATGCAGCCTGTGCGAATTTGCATTCTATGCATTGCGTAGGTACTTATGGAGTGCGGGCGTACAGCGAACCGCCGTATACGCTATAAGAAGACCTCCCCGTATTTATACACGGATTTAAACAGAGCCTATAATCTATGTCACTGGGTAGTAAACCTATTCCCGTACCGGGTGTGGTTAGTGTGAAAATACCAATACTTGCCCCAAATAATATCCCCATTCGCCCCTTGAGAACTACAAGGGCTGCGGGTAGTTTAAACGCTTCGTAAATTTCCTGATTAACCTTCGTAACAACCCTCTTATTTTCTTCCCGTGAATTCCTCGTGGAATCGTCAGTGAGAGACTCTTCTCTCCAGAGTCAAGGAATCCCGGAGTGATTCGGAGTCACCCGGTACATCGGATAACTATGCACGTGCGCGATGCGGAGTGTGTGTTTCAAGCTCGAACCGTCTTAGCTTTGGTCTTGTGTATCTCTTAGTAGCTCGTGCCGCTCTGGTCGTTAGCATCTGTCTTCTCTGGACCACAGCATCCCATGCATCCCATGTCCCAGTCTTATTCTCTCTCTCTCTCTCTCTCTCTCGGTGTATCTGTGTATACCTACACTCTCCACAGACGTCTCTCAGTTTCTCCTTAGGACTGACCCTATCTCCTATCCCTCTATACCTTTATACCTTTTTTTATGCATTTCCCTCCCCCGCGTATCACACGCATCCTCCCTACGTGAATATACACAGATGCAAAGAAATGGAGAGAATGCATTTCTTCCTCTTCAATGTATCACTTGTTATTTTTTATCTTATTTTCTTCTCTCTCACTCACTCGCTCTCTCCCTCTCTCTCTCTCTCTCTCTCTCTCTCATATAAGCACGGCAATCTTAAGATTCCTAGAGGTCCGTGCGATGCGACACGCGGCGAGATAAAACTGCACCGATAACTCGGCGCTCCTTTGACACTAGGGCCTCTTGTAACGCGATATCTAACGGGGCAGCCGATAGTAGTCGTATACATAGTAGTAAGTAGTATCACAGTTATATACGTCGTTAATGATATTCGAAGAGTGTAATGGATTTATCTCGTCGCATACAAGGCTACTTACTGTACATGAAATTTCCTGCTTTCGAATGATGAACATAAAGAAATAGGGAGTAAGGAAAACTCGTGAGCGCATCTCCGAAGGATTCGTACGACAAGTCGGAATCAACTGGAGTCTTTTCACTCGTTCAGTCTTGAAGTCCTCGGAGTCTTCAGTCCCGATCGGATCGCTCGGTTGGAGCCTTTCGATTTTATGCGAGGCTCAGGCATAGCGAGACTATTTATAAAACCGGGACCCTTTGTGTGGTAATACGACTGCCAGGGAATTTCGAGAGTCGTATAGCTTGGAAAAAGAGCAACTTCTCTTATTCTTCTTCTTCCTCCTCTTGTTCCACTTCATTCTCTTTCCATACCTCCGTCCCTTCGGGAAAGCCAATTCCACGCTGGCTTGCGTAACAGTCATGGGGAAGTCTTACGAAATCCCAAAACAAGAGGGCGTCTTTTCTTTATTTTATTTTTTTTCACCTTTTCCTCCATCCCACCCCCTCTCCCTCCTATCTTGCTCTTCCTGTTTCACTGTCTTCACGGACGCGAGCTATAGCTTCATCCTCACGGCGCCATATGGGATGGTTTATTCGGTATGCGGAAAGAAAAATACCACATCTTAAGTCAAGCCTAAGTGAGATCGACTTTGATCTCGCGTTTTTATATAGAAGTGCGAGATTCTGCGGCCTGTCTGGAATACGAAAAAAAAAAAAAAAAAAAAAAAAAAAAAA